GCACTGTATTCTGTTAAAATGTATTCCACAGACGACGGATTTCACGCCAACTCATCCAGTGGTTGGCAGCACCCTCTCAGAACCTTATGGAACTTTGTGGGTGTGGAGACTTAGCAATTTTAAGCAACTTTGCGTACTTATTTTTTTCAAAATTTATCTCGCCTAACATTTGATAAGGGTCAAAGTTTATTGTCGATTTTTTTTTCAAATCGATATAGCTTAAAAATGACAAGCCCTACAAAAAAGTGATGTATGGCGAACTTTTAGCAAATAATCTGAAATTTTGTAAAAAAATTTAAATAAAATAAAAAATCGGTTTCTACACTCTAAAAAAATATATTTAAAAATTAAAAGTCATTTTCCCAAAAATGGTACCCCTCAGATTTGCTTGATATTTTTTCTCATGAAAGGCAATATAATTACCTAACTTTTCTTCATACATCGCAAAGTGGGCGCTTTTAAGGAAAAAAAGTTGTTCGAACAACAACTTTTTCATGTTAATTTTTTTTTAGCGTGTTTCACTCAAAGTCGAATAGTAATACGCGCACAACCTTATTAAAATTCGATTAAACTTTATGGGTATACTTTTCGATAATCTGGGCGAAATCTAGCCTAACATTTGAAAAGGTTACAGAGAAGTTACCTGCAAATCGTCCAATAAGAGTTCAGAACAAAACGTTCTAATGAGGAACAGCCATCTCAGCATGGTTTGCACTTTCCTGTGATGGATTGTATTATAATATATGCATACACTCTATCCAACTTCTATAAAACCACCCTCAAATTGTTCCAAATCAACAGGTAAACTAAGTAAAAATCACTTAGTATGTTTTATTCATGAAAAGATTTCAATTCATGTATTTGTGATTAATTTAATTAGAAAAATAATCATTCATTTATTTTTATGTATTAGGTGTGTCCATTAGTAAGCAATATACATATATATGTTTATACCTCATCTCTCAAGTGAATACATATAATAGCGCAGGTAACTTAACGATTATTTAAGGCATGCCTAAAATAATCGTTAAGTTACCTGCTATATAGCAGTTATATAACAACGCAGGTAGTCACATGAGAGATATAAGGTATAAACTTAAAGCACCGCAGTCTGTTTCTACCGACATAATCTAATATTTAAGTTTGGTGATATCACAACAATGCTCATAGTTGCTGTAGTGCATAGTTGTTGAAAGTGTAGTGCTGCATAGTTGTTGAAACGAAAAAGTGTTTATATATACAACAATGGAAAAATCTGCTGAATTGATTATTAAAAGGGTGCAATGTAGTGCCAACATAAACAATCCCAATTGCAGCCGCAATAATTTACGTAATTTATCATCAAGTCTCATAGAGAAAATACATTCATGGGGCTTTGATCATCAATTGGATGTAACAATGCGTATTTGTGAATCGTGTCGTGGAATTTTAGTGCACAATAGGACACCTCTCCCGAAAAAGAGGCGATCGGATGGAAAAGAATCAAGCCATGCTCGGAAGTTTGAAGAGCCGCAACCATCAACAAGTCATCAGCAATCAGAACATTAGGAAAGCACAGGGGTATCATTGGAACAATAATCAAGCTACGATACATCCTTTCGAAATTTACTACATAAAAGAAAACAAGTTGGAAAATTTAAGCTTTATTATTATTTCAGAAGTATTGACCCATGATACAATAGCAGTTCAATTATTTATATCAAAATTGTTAGATTTCATTAAACAATCTATTAGTTTCACAAAAATTACTTTCATGTCAGATGGAGCAGCGGCTCATTACAAAAATAAAAAGAATTTTGCCAGTTTGTGCAACTTCAAGTCCAAGTATGGATTGGAAGCAGAATGGCACTTCTTCGCAACGTCTCATGGGAAAGGCCCATGTGACGCAATTGGAGGAACTCTCAAACGAATGGCAAAGAGAGCAAGTCTTGCTCGAGATTATGGAAACACAATCACAACTCCACAAGAACTGTATGACTGGGCAGTTAAACAAACAGATACAAGCATAACAAAATTGAACTTCTGCTTCATATCAAATGATCAATACACAAAGATGTCCGATGAACTCAAGGAGCTGTTCAGTCATGTAAAAACTATACCTGGTACACAAAAATTTCATTGTTTTGTACCTATTTCTCAAAACATAATTTCTACTAAGCGATTTTCACATTCAAAGGAAACTCCGAAAAATTTCACTCTGTTTCCGATAGACTAATAATCAATGAAAAACTCAAATTATGTATGGAGAATTATAGGAAAATAAATTATGCACTAAACAAAAACACTAGAGTTTTCATTTATTAAAACACCATTCGAAATGCAGGAAAATCCTCTGTATTAGGCCCTTTCAAATGTTAGGCTAGATTTTTGTTTTAAGCACGCCCAGATTATCAAAAGGTCAAAATCTTTATGCTCATTAAGTTTCAACGGATTTTAATAAGGTTGTGCGCGTATTACTATTCGACTTTGAGTGAAACACGCTAAAAAAAAATTAACATGAAAAAGTTGTTGTTCGAACAACTTTTTTTCCTTAAAAGCGCCCACTTTGCGATGTATGAAGAAAAGTTAGGTAATTATATTGCCTTTCATGAGAAAAAATATCAAGCAAATCTGAGGGGTACCATTTTTGGGAAAATGACTTTTAATTTTTAAATATATTTTTTTAGAGTGTAGAAACCAATTTTTTAATTTATTTAAATTTTTTTATAAAATTTCAGATTATTTGCTAAAAGTTCGCCATACATCACTATTTTGTAAGGCTTGTCATTTTTAAGCTATATCGATTTGAAAAAAAAATCGACAAAAAACTTTGACCCTTATCAAATGTTAGGCGAGATAAATTTTGAAAAAAATAAGTACTCAAAGTTGCTTAAAATTGCTAAGTCTCCACACCCACAAAGTTTCATAAGGTTCTGAGAGGGTGCTGCCAACTCCGAAGACGAGTTGGCGTGAAATCCGTCAGAGACACTTCTGGTCTACACGCTCGCCTGAGATAAAGTGCACGATGGCCGTTCTCTAAGCATCGCAGAACCCTTCAGCTCATCACCTGTGACTCCGTGTCACCATTTTGCCACGGCCATGCGCGCCTTATTCAGTTGTCGGCCGTTAAGCATGGCCGTATCGTCTGCCCAGTGGGTTTCACCGCAAGTGTTACACAAATTTATTTGAATGCTCGATCACATGGTGCATATTTCAAATATTGTATTGGACCTTTGTAACAGAACGGTTACAGGGTAACTGTTATCTAGTTTCCTCCATAGGCACGTTTACTCAAACTTGAGTAAAAGCATGTTTACCCATGTGTGGGTAGCTTTCCTTTTGGCTGACCGGAGTGATTTTTGACTAAAAAATGAGTAGCCTCAAAATAGCGTGTAGAAGAAATGATTTTTATCAGCACTGCTATGGACACTTTAAAATTAACATAAGTCAAACATAGAACATCACCTTTAGGTCGTGTTTTAAAACTCTTGTTAGCAAGCATTTTTATGTAATTTTTCCCAGAAAACGATTAGGAATGTGTCATTTTTTTTAAATAGATATTACATTGCCGATTGCGTGATAATGTTTGCACCATCGTACAAATAAGGTTTCCGTTTCATCTGTACATACATTGCCTTGGTTTTCTTTGCATGCACATAACCTATAGCTCATACCGTAGTAGGCTATGTATAAAAGAAAATGATTTACTTAGTTTGACAGTTGCACCATGACGAAGTGGCAGCGTATTCGTGATTTGTCCCACGCGCAAATGTCGCAACAAGACATTTCAATCGCCGTGGGAGTGTCCCGATGGACTTTCAAAGGGGTTTTAGACCGAGAAAAGAAATGACAACTATCCACGAAGGTGGTCACAGGTCGTCCAAGGTCAGCTCGGGTTCCGAGGGTTATCGCTGCTATCAAAAGGAAGATTCGGGTGAATCCAGTGCGTTCAATAAGGAAAATGGCAAAGGAACACGGGATCAGTGACTTTACGGCACGAAAGATCGTAAAGGAAGATTGCGGGGCGAAGTCGAGTTCACGAAAAAAAAAAAAAACTCACATGATTACCAACCGCATCCGGGAGCTACGAGTCGATCGATGCAGGAAAATCTTGAACTTCCTTAAGCGAAAATCTCCGGTAATCCTGCTCACCGACGAGAGCATGTTTACCGTCGATTCCGTATCAAATTCCAGAACCGACCAATGTATTAGTTTTCTTCCAGTAAAAGACGTGGCTGACGAGCACAAGAACGTGTATCTGACCAAGCATCCTGCTAGCGTTATGGTGTTTGGATTGGTGGCTTCCGATGGCAAAAAAGCATATTCACAAAAAGTTAAAAAAGTTAACCTAAAGTTCTTGTTTAATGATTTTTGTCAATTTTCAAGTGTCCATGGTTTTAAGAATTTTAAAAACTTAATTTTTTTATGGATTAAGATACTCTTTTGAGCTTTTTATAACTTTTTTTGAATGTATACACCTTTAAAAAAAAGTGTTTTCAACATCAGAAAAACTTTATTATTCGGTAGAACTTTGTCTCAGACGTCATTCCGATAGGAAGTGAACACACAATTTATCAAAATTTTACTCAAATCGGAGAAGGTCGAGTTTTCCCGATTCGCCGTGGAGCTGTTGATGTGTAACAGTTGATTTTTATCTAACCTATTTATTTTGCAAGGCTGAAGGTATGTGTAAAAGTAGTATCACATTGTGTATAAAAAGACAATTTTATATTAGCTTCAAGGCTGTCGGAGTAGGGGAGTAATTTTCCTTTGTTCAATTTCCACACAAACAAACCTATCCTAGCAAGTAATACCCAACCTACATCTGATAGGCGCCTATGTAAGCTCCCAAAGCATAATCCAGCCCCATTCGAGAGATCAATCTCCAAATCCTCCATCGTAAACATGGGACCGGAAAGTGTGACCCACTGAGTGCAATCAGAAGGGGCTATCTGTTTTCCTAGCGGTAAGATAATCCCTAAGCTTTCGACAAGCAAGCAAATCCTCCGAAAAATACTTACCACTAGTCTTTGGGAGCCGGTCCCTCTTCAGGTGGAAGGTGGAATCAAAGTTCACAATCTGTAATTAGAGAAGAGAGAACGGAGAAGTTGGGGGAAGAGTGTCAGTATGTAGGAGTTGTAAAACCTTCGTCAAGAAAGTTTACTGCTTTCTTGCTGGGGACAGGCTGGGGCTGGATAAAATGGGGCTTGCACTGTAAAACGATTTGTGCGTGGCAGTTTGTTTCGGGTTAATGGTAATTAGGGTCACAGGAAGTTTAAGGTTCATTGAGAAGTAGGAATCATAAAGTTGTAGTGTTAATTGGAGGATTATCTCGGAGTTGTTCAATTGACCCGATGCTCTTCTGGTACGGTAGATTGATTGAAAATAAAATATTTACCCGTCTCCCGGCGCTGTTGGAGCGAAGCCTCAATCTCGCACATCACAAACGAAACATCGAAGTCCCTGTAGATAGGTGCAATCGGAAAATCGGTGGCAAGCGCTGAATCATTCCCCACACGGGCGCACGACAAAAAGTGGAGCACATTTCGGGAACAACAACCGAAACGGTCCCATCTGTTTCCGATGAACGTGAAAGAAGTGGTGTTTTAAGCTGATGTGATGTGACCTTTTCAATTGATGATCCTGATTTTTTCCACACGAGACGGTAATCGAGACGATGACGATGACGGGGGCAAGTGGGGGCACTGTTGATGCGGTCATCCTAATAGACGAGGGGCCAACCCAGGCTGTAGAAACGATTAATGGTATAATCGATACACAATTCAGTAGAGCCACCGCTGTGCCGTTGAAACCCAGGTCAATGGATTGAAATAAAGGCTTCTGGTTGAATACTTCCTCCACTGCATTCCGCTGCAATATCCGATTGATTTTTTTTGTTTGGTTCGATCCGCACCCGTAGGTGAGAGGTTAAATATTGCTTTGATTGAAGTGGTTGCACAATATCGATGATGAAAGACCGGTTTGAATCGGATGGGCAAATTTAAACAAGAATTCAGCTCCACGATTTGGAAGAAAAATATGAATTTTTGGAATTCTAGGACCTGTACCTATGTAGAGTTCTACTGATTCAAAAATGTTTTTCTCAAGTCACTTACCAAAATTTTGCTCTTCACCGGCAGCAAACCAGATGGTATCCCTGCGATAAGAATGCACCTTTTCATCTTTCTGATGTTTGTCGTATCAAATTTACTTGGGATTTCTGCATGTGCAAAACGACACCACATTCCTCCCACGGCACGCATACCGGCATCAGCTGTCACTCAAAATTACCTTCAAAATCTGCTCGACCGCTCGTTGGCAATGGAAGATACACAACATCCAGGCTCCGGTTTCCACCCTTCAAATGCTTTGCGCTGTCGAGACTTTTTGCGTTTTCAATTCCATAAACACCTTTGAGCGAAATGCCATAACTGCATCTGAAGTGGATTGTAATTCGTTTTGAATAGACGCAAAAAAAGGCTCATTATCACCGAGAACATCAGAAATCAAAAGAATTTCTCGGATTTTTCCTCGTGCTTTGTGTCCGACCAGATGCCAGATACAGCACCCGGAGTCTGTCAGTCAAGCGTACGTTTGTTTGGTTCGTTGGCTGAGCTGAGCTGTAGGTATGCATATCGAACATACTGACAGTTAGTCAATCATTCGGTTTGTCAGTACCACGAGAAAATGAGATAATAGTCAAATTTTCGGTCCAATTCCGATCCTGTCGAGTGGATTATACTCATCAAAGGGGCCGCACGCTATGTCTGAAGGCACTTTTTTTGCAACATGCATGTACCTCAGTTTTTTCTTCACAGGATGTTAGTATTGATCCTAACAATCAACTCTGTGTTGGTTTGAAAATATTTCATCTTGGGTTTTTTGAGAAATGGTGTTTTGGAGTTTACAACGCCGATAACGAAGGCGTATATTGGACTATTGACGATACAAAACTGTTGCGAATTGAACAAATGCAGTTAAATCAGGTTCAAAAGTTGTTGAATTAATCAAAATGGCTTTAAAGAGTTCTCTTTGACTCTCAAGCAAGATGCGTATTGATTATGTCAACTTTGCGCAAAATTAAATAATATTTGTTGCTAGCACAACTTCTTGTTTAATGTCTCTTCCCTCATAAGAGTAAAAGAGAAATAAACGAGCAGGACAGTCCAAGACAGCCACGTAATCATAGTAGGCATTGATTTTCTGCCTGTTTCGAGTGTTTTTTGAATCTCTCGAAGAAAATAGAGAGTTCGCTTGCTGTGCTTCAAATTATCAAAAGAAAAAAAAAAATACCACGCCACTTTAGTAGCGACGTTCGCTGAAAGATTTTTATCAGAGTTCAATAAAAGAGTTAGTAGGTATCTGAAATGTTTGTGTCTCGTACTCAGCTGGTGACGAAGGTGGCATTTACAACCCTAAGGAATAGAAAATTAGTTTGGATTTTTGGAACCCATGCCGAAGTTGTTTGAAAATCATTTAACAGATAATGCCGATAATACAGGAATGAACCTCACATGATATTAGCTGCTCTTGCCCAGTGAGTTTAGGTAGCCTTCACTTTTAACTACTACAGAATTGCTGGAGTTTCATTGCAGTTCCCATATTTTGTCTAAGGAAACTTTCAGGAAGGCTCAGCGACTTTCTAGGAAATTCTGCGAACTATAGGGAATTATAGTGAATTTTAGAAAAGTTAAAGACGTTCCTCAAAAGAATCAGAGAAGTTTAACAACCTTCATAGAAGCTCATTGATCTCAGTTCAGGAAAATTCTTCAAACTACAAAGATGTGCTTCGATCTTCAGAGAAGGTCTATAAACCTCAGGAAAATTCTGCCAACTTCAGGGACGTTTTGTGAGCTTCAGGGGAGTTCAATGTCCTTCTGATAAGTTTTACGACTCACAAGAGACGGTCTGAGAACTTAAAAAAAATCTAAGAACATCAGAAAAAATTGAAGAATTTCATCGAAGTTCAACGAAATCAAGGAAAAACCAAATGGAGGGATATGAATTTGAATGTATTTAACTTCTATAAGCTGTCTCATCGGGTCGTTGGTGGAACAACTCCCACTCCATGTCTTAGAAAGCAGGTATGATAGAGAGAATTTGTTGCGATATCTCTTTCTCTTTCACACTTTCTTAATGAAATGTGATCAACGGCATGAGCAGGGCGACAGCAGGGGTGGGATGTGCTGTCAAATCGGCCTACTGAAAGTCCATCAAAGAGATGTAAATATGGTAAAAAATCTCTCACGAAGATTTACTTAGCTTTAAGAAAGATCTTAATCCGAGTGTTAATAAGGTCAGTATGTACATAGCTTTACACTATATTTGTATTATGTTACATACGCTAAAATTGGCTCAACGTATGAGATATACCGACCGTCAAACTATCCAGCCCGGTCTCAAATCAGCTATGACGAAAGACAACGCGGCCAATAATGATCTCAATAACGCTTCAAATTCTGTGGCTGCTGCAAATGCGACTCATCATGCGCAATTTGGATTCGCTGGTCGCCATTTTAGGTGCTTGATAAACGTGTAATTTTGGAAGGATGCAATTTTGATCATCAGCTAATGGTTTTGGATAATATGGATGCTATGATGAGACATTGTTTTGGTGATGAACTCATGGATGAGTGCATAGGTCTTTTTTGTGAAAGTTGGTCCACCGAAACCTTCCGGTAGCCCCAAAATTCAATATTGTAAAACATCACATTATAGATTTTTGCAATAGTACAGGAAAAGTCTTAGCCTGGTTCACGGAAAAAAAAAACAAACGAAGCTGTTCATAATGATTTTTCCCAAACATGGAGTATCTATAAAGCAGTGGAAAATAATTTCAGATACGACAAAAACTTGATGAAAGCGGTGGTATTTTATCATTCTCTTTAGATATTTATGTAAGCATTGATAAAAATGGATGAAACATATGGAACTGATAATTATAGTAAATTTAGTTTATTCTCTCCATTGTAAATTATTTCATCATTTTAAACATTATGAGTTCACGACAAAGTTACGACATCTTACGGTACCGAAGAGGAAATCTTACTATACCATTGAAACGAAGTATTTTGACTACCTTAATCTCCAACAATCATATGCAGCTGTATTTGTTTCTATCCGTAACAGTTTTGTATTGTCAATGGTCCATACACGCCTTCATAAACGACTAAGTATACTTCAAAATACTTTTTCTCAAAAAACCCAAGATGAAATATTTTAAAACCATCACTGATTTGATTGTTAAGATCCATTCTAACTTCCTGTGATGAAAAAAACTGAGGTACATTAATGTTGCAAAAAAAGTGCCTTCAGACATAGCGTGGGCCGTCGGTCTTCTGTTGCCGTTGGTGGAAGTAAGTATTGTGCTGACGTAGACTCGGCTTCCGCTCAAATGTATTGAGGTGCCATAACAGTCTTTCCTTTTTTTATTATTTTCGTGTTCCAATTATGGCATGTATGCAATACCCAAAGGAAATAAATGGATCACCCCATAATAGGAACGTAAAGCCATAACTGGTACATCAAATGTCCAAAAATCCAACCAGTGAGTGGGGCAAACGTTTGACGAATGGACGTTTGGCAGAAGGGACAATTGTCGAGAAATTATTTTGCTCAACAGTTTTAATTTAACTCTTTATTTGTTCCAAATTCAAATTAAATTACATTTAATTTTAACCAAGGCAGCTACTACAGTAACTTACCAGTTTTAATTGTTATGATATTTATCTAAGTGTTTTTACATTGTTCCTGCCTTGGCAATTCAGTATTTTAAACAGGTTTTTTAAACCTGCATGTCATTATAACAATTGGAATCCTATAACTAAAAACTTAAACTAAATCTTATTTAAGTATAAAGGGAATTAATCGTTGCAATTGTGGATTGCAACGATTTTTGCCTGAAATTGTTAATTATTTTGTTGGAAATTAGTTCTAAAGTCTCAACATTCGAAATTCTATGTACTTCGGTAGTACTGTACCAGAGAGGCAACTTCAAAATCATCTTCAGCAGTAGCGTGCGCAAGGGGGGGGGGGCAGGGGAGGCCATGGCCCCTCCAAATGATTTGTGTTTCATACCC